TAAAAATTAATGTTTATTAAAATTTTGCCAAAGTCTTTGATTTCCTTAATTACATTCATAGGTATGTATCTCCAAAATTTTTACTAGTCATTAATTACAATGTTTGACATTAACTAAAAATTGATAATAGATTATTAAATCGTACGGTTATATGTATTCTACGCGTTTTGCTATTAAAAACTCGTTATTTTATAAATGTTTATTAATTAAGCTAAAAGGAAAATTTAGCTAAGTAAAGCCAATTCAAATCGTAACGAATTTGTATTGCAATTGTAAGGAAGTCAGCTATGTACAAATGCGTTTTTCGTACAAAGGACTAACTGAAGATCAAAAAGTTTCAAAAAGCATCAAAGAAATAATCTCAATATGTATTGCACTTAATATCAAAAAGCTCGCATACGCCTTCGTCTTTTGTTAATACGAAATTGTAATCATCGTGTGGGGGATTTAATTGAATCAGGGGTGCATTTTCTGGAAAAGTTAAAAATTTTACATATTTTATATGAACAGATTGATAAGAATTTTTTGCTTCGCACCTAAATTTGGATCATCAGGAAAAAATCGGCGCAATGAGTGTTTGGACAATGAATTTTTAAAAATTATACGAGCCGCGAGTTGATTTTCTAACTCATCCTGTTCTTTCTTTTGGTCAGGATTACAAAAGTACGTATGCTCATCAGTGACTAGAGTTGGCTTAGTGGATGAGCTCGTTCGTGAGCCATTCGATGAAGAGGGTGAAGGTGTTTCTAAGCGGGAGACCAATGGCGCAGTTTCTGGTTTAGGCGCTATGCAAGTACCTTGTTGCGTTACCAGCCGCACATCAACTTTGCCGCCATTGTCCAGCGATACATACAAAGATTTCTGCAATATATACAAATTTTATAAATATTACGGGCGGATAAAAAACCATGTTACATACGCGCCCAGGCTCTATTTTGACCTCCTCATCATGGTTCGGTATTACAAGAACTACATTATCTCCGTAAGTAGAAAGCAAGTCATCGCGCGTCACATATGCGTACGACTTGTTAACCGCATCATTTTTAACATACTTCAAATTGCGACGAGCATATTCTAATTGCAGATCTACATCGGCTTCGAGCGCTTTCAAATGTCTGGCTCGCGCATGCGCCGCTCGCAGACTTTCCCGACCTGTACTTGTGTTTAATGCGCCGCTGTCCAGAGTAATAATGAAACAAATTATATAATCAATAAATTAAACCCAGTCATGCTTCAATATAACTTACCACCATCGCACAGTACTGCTGTGCCGTGTCTTTTCAATCAAGCCCACGCCTTCCAAAACGTTTGTTATGTCGTAGATTCTACGTTTTTGCACATCCAAAAGCTCAGTTGCCTGACGAGAAATCAATTTGTTGAACTTAATGCATACATACATTTGCGCAATAAAATATTACAAGTGCTACTGCCCGCCAATCATAATCTTTTGAACTACATACATTTGCATTTTATATGTTGTTGAAGCGCCAAACACAGTTATATATTGCGCACCACCCTTCACATTACCCCACCCACTTCTATCAAAATCTATAAATGCATGCACAGCAAGAATATTAACTTCTTTGCAAGTTACCTCTTTGAGATCAATTCGTCCATGGTTTTGCTTCATCAAACGCACGAATTTCTGTGTAAGTACCACTAGGGATCCAACAGCGCGATGTTGTTCCTGCCTGGTTGGGGTGGGCGCGGAGCCATTCAGCACTACTCGTTCGCTCATTATTGCATCTCGCACAGCTTTCGCATTCATGGTGGGAACGAAATACTCACTTGTTTATAGTGTTTAATAATATATAATATACAATTATTTTGTGTGTTCGCTTTAAAATAACTAGATTGGGGCGCGAATATTTTTAATAAAAGTAGATTGACTAAATTTTTAACACTGCCGCCATTTCGTCTTCTTCTTCTATTGAGAATTTTTCACTGACGACCGATTCGCAATAGTACAACATATTTCGAGTCACAATTATTCATACAAGGGTTTGAAAAGGTCAACAATTAAAGTGGAAGACATGATACAATAATTTTTAAAAATTATTGTATCATGGTGGAAGATATAAGAATAGAACGAATAAACATTACATTGTCTTAAAAAATTAAGAAATATATAATGCAATGACCCCGTTAAAAAAAGAAGCCTTTTCATCCATTTCAGAAGTCAAATCTGTGAACGAACGGCAACCTTTCGAGGTGGTGCGACATCTATCGATTATCTTACCTTTTTGTTTTCATCAGATCACATCCAGCGTTGCCGTTCTGGTCCGATTGGACCAAAATTGGTAGGTAGCTTTGTTGGTTTGATCAAAGAACGTAAATACATTTACGTTCTTTGGTTTGATGAACCTTTTGGTAGGCAAACATTTTTTGAAAAACAACCAAATTGAGTATTAAAATTTGTTCGCTTAATTTACGTTTACACGTTCAAAACATTGCTTTCACTTTGCTCACACGTATAAGATTTCTTAGTTTTTTCCTATATTTTATTAAGCAGACAATTCTCTGTAAACAAAAACTCACTTCCCAAAGCTATGATCGATTGGCTGTTGAAATAGAACCAGAAATTACCTATAGTCTTGAAAGAAAAATGTATGATAGCCAATTTGCAAAGTGAAACGAATTTAGGATTTTTTGCATAAATGTGATATTTTGTTTTTTCACACACAAAGAAAAGATGTTTGATATGAATGGAATTAATCTCAAAGGTATTTACATTTTTTACAAAAGTTTATATACAATACGTCAATTCTTTTATTTATAGGCCCTGTTAACAATATGTGTATTGTTAATTTTTACTGTTAATTTTTGTAGTTAAAAACCCCGTAAATTCAAGAAGTCTAGCTTTAATGAACAAAATTTTGGTAGTTTGGAAACTGATTTGGTAGGCATTTTGGTGCTTAAAAATATTTCAAGTGGCAACACTGATCACATCACATTTTAAGTTTGTTTTGCTCTCTGATTTCGTCGTGTGTGTTAAATAAAACACGCTTCAGTTAATCCATCGGCTAAAATTTTTAATTATACTATAGTCATTACTTACTAAAAAATGTCTTCTCAAAAAGCACGTCCACGCCTTTCCAAGGGTATATTGGAGATGAAGTTCATGCAACGAACAAAGGCCAAAGTGGACAAGGAGATCGAGGAAGCTGAGGGGCGTGAAATGTACTCCCAAGAGATCACCCAGAAAATGTTGAATAGTAATTCAAACTTCATAATGGAACCCAGCTTTGTGCATTGCGAGAATCTGTTGGACGGTCGGTGGAGTTTTCGCGGCATGAACCCGGAAATCGAACGCCTATTGGAGTTGGAGCAACAGGAGAAAGCTGCCAGTGTACGACATGAGCAACCGAAAGAGGTATCTGACAAAGAAATGGCTGCATTTTATAATGCACAACAGGTGACGATGCAAAAGAAATTCCAGACCAAGGCACAATTTAAAGATAAACGCCGTTCCGGTGACAACACGTCGTGGCAAAGTAAAAAGATGAAATTCCAAAAACCACGCGTGGACGACGATGACGACGATGAGAATAGTGAATAGATAATAAAACTTTGGGTGAAATTGTTATTCAAATCGTACTTAGTGTTTTTTCTCCGTATAATTTTATAGTTAAAACTTTATAAGGGCTTTTAATACATAATTCAAATTCGTTGAAATAAATTTATTCAGCTTTAATTGCTTGAATAGCATAGCACATCATATTAGTGTTAATCCAACGCCAGCGTCTGCGAATGACGTCGTATGTGTATCCATTGGTCAGCACAGTTTGACAATTTACTAAAAGATACAATTTCGAATTTAGCAGTTGAAAAAAAACACGTGGGACGTATCTCACTTACATGCAGAAAGAATGCGTTGCACATCCAGTGGTGACACTAACTTATCCCAATGGTGTGTGTTTTTTGGTGCGATGCCGAAAACATATTCGCCAAGCAGAATGCCACCAAGCCATAGCGGGATTGTCTTATTCAGGGTGGTTATGAATATTGACCCGCCAGGCTAAACTCAAGTGAGTTATTGTATACAATATACATATATTTTAGATTACAAAGAAAATATTTCAAATAATGGCTAAAATTATACCTTTAAAGTATGTACGCAATGTGTAAGAAATCCTGCTTTGTCATCAATATGTTCCAAAACCTCCGAGCATACTACAGCATCATAATAATTTGAATTCGATTTTGCATGTACTTCTACTGGTTCGATTTTATAAGTTATTCGATCTTTCAGTTCTGGACTATGCGACTCTAAATGCGTTCGCGCTGTTGTTATAACGTCTTCGCCCAAATCAATACCTGTAACATTAGCACTTAAACGTGCCAATGTCTCTGTTAAAATACCACCTCCACAACCGACTTCTAATATGTTTTTGCCTTGTAAAACCTTGGTTGTGTTCATTAAACTGCGATCAATGGTACCGCGAGTAACCATGCCGTCACGTACCAAAGGCACTCTATGTAAAGATGTACTTTTAATTTTACAAACTCTAAAGTGGACACACCTACCTTATTTCGTTAAGCTTATGTAGTCCATGCATTGGACCATTTATATCCCACCAGGTTGAAGATAAATTTGCATGATGATTTATTTCTTTTTGTGTGCTAGCTGAATGACGAGTTTCCTTTTGGGTTTTGGCTGAATTTGTATCCGATGTTGACATATAAGTGCCATTTGTAGACGTTTGTGCATATCGGATATGTATAGTATTATTTAACAGCAAATACCTGAATAAAAATATATATTTGCTATATGTACTATGCAAAGACAAGTAGCAATACCAAACCTTTGTGTCCGCAGTAAAGGTGATACAAATTTAACTGCTTTACATGCCATGTTGCTCGTATTTGGTTGCACTTGACGGTTGAGTGTGACTTATTTAAATAAAATTGTTTTTATATGTTTTCGCGTTTATGTTTTCGTGGTAAGTAATCGGAAATATAAACTTTTATCACTTCACCGGACGAAAAAAAATAAACAAAAATCATATGTTAATGGCAATAAATTGTGCTGCCAGCTATCCCCAATCGTGATTTTTTCTAGACATTATTGGTGGCAATTTTTCCTTGCCTACCAGCTAAACATCAAAACCAGTGTTGGCAAAATGCTAATCTGATTAACAATTAAAAATTAACGATTAAAACGTTAATCGGGATCGACGATTAAAACTTATTAATCGTAATCAACTGTACGATTAATGATACATTTTTTTTAATCGTTAATCGATGGTTGCGATTACGATTAATTAATTTTAGTCATTAATTGTTAATCAAATTAAAGGAAAATCTGATTAAGTTGTCTAGTTTGTCCGAATTTCACGCCAAAAACCAGTTATAGTAATTATTTTTTGTTTTACGCTTATAAAAAGCACATAATATAAAAAAAAATATAATTATTGTTATTAGTAATACATAAACTGGGAACTTTTACAACCCAGCGCACATGTGCAGAGGGATATTAAAACCTAGTTTGTAAAACGCCTGTTGGAATAGATCTTAATGAAAATGCACACCAAATTGTTTAGGGAAACCGACTTAGCCATGCTTGATTAACTGGCCTTGTGTGCAAAGGAAAATTCGAGCATAAATTAAATAATCACCAAACCGACTTAATCATATTAAGGGTTAATGATTAAAAATTAATTTTTTTAATCGCGGTTACCATTAACTGTTTAATCTGTCAGATCGGATTGAATTTAATCGAATTAAGTAATTGATTAAAAAATCAATCGATTAGTGCTAACTGTGATCAAAACCCGCTATCAAATATTTGGGGGTAATGATTGATAGTCGTTTAAATATTAAGACCCACCTCGGAAGTGAACAGTTCAGGGCTATTTCGGGATCATTTCGTGACTAATTTTGAAATACCTCAAAATAATCCCGAACTAGTCCCAAAATTGCCCTGAAGTGACTCTGAAAATGTCGTGAACTTGTCCAGAAATGGTCTCGACCAAGTCTTACGAAGGTCCATTTCAAGTCCCAAAATTATCCCACATCAGTCCAGAAATATTCCTGAATCAGTCCCGAAATGGTACTGAATCAGTCCCGAAGTGGTACTGAATTACTCCCGAAACGAACCCTAACTAGTCCCCAAATGAACCCGAACTAGTGCCGAAATATTAAGTACTGAACAGGTTCCAAAACGGTCTCGAAATTAGTCCGAACTAGTCCCGAAATTATCCTGAAATAGTCTCTAACACACCCCGAAACGGTCGAAAAAGTCGAGAACTTGTGCCAAAATGATCTCGAAAAAGTCTTGAAACAGTCCCGAAATGATCCCTTATTAATCCCTAAATGATTCCGAACTAGTCCAAAAATGGCTCCTTAAATAGTCCGAAGTTGAAAGGTGGGAAGAATTTACTTTTTTAGTATAGTGTATTTTGATAGTTATTTAATAAAGTGAGTAAACGCTTTCATGGAATAAATAAGTTCATTGAATTTTAATCGCTTGAATAGCGTAACTCATCATAGTACTGTTGATCCACTGGAAGCGTTTACGAAAAACATTATACGTAAAGCCTTTTACCAGAATGGTTTTACAGTTCACTGAAAAGCAAAAGTATAGAAAAATAAATAAATTTAGGTATGTACTTGAGTAATTTAAGAAATTTTCAAACTTACGAGCAGAGAGTATACGTTGCACATCCTTAAGTGATATCAATTTATGCCAATGATGCGTGTTTTTCGGTGTGACGCCGATTACATACTCAGCAAGGACAACGCCAAAAATCCAATGGGGAATATTTTTATTTAAAGTGGTTATGAATATTGAGCCCCCCGGCTGAAATGGGACAAAGGGAAATTATGGAGAACTATCTAATATGTATGTATATGTATACCTTTAAGGCCTCGATACAATGTGTAAGAAATTCCTCCTTGTCGTCAATATGTTCTAAAACCTCCGAGCATATTACAGCATCGTAATGATTCCGATTTAATTTGGCGTGCACCTCTATTGGTTCGATTTTGTAAGTTATGCGATCGCTTAGTTCCGGACAATGTTGCTCTAAATGTTTTCGTGCTGTTGTTATGACGTCTGCGCCCAGGTCAATGCCCGTTAAATTGGCACCCAAGCGTGCCAGTGCTTCAGTCAATATGCCACCACCGCAACCCACTTCCAATACAACCTTATCTTGCAAAATCATGCTTGTATTAATTAAACTCTTGTCGATCATGTTATCATGGGCCACCAAACCGTCACGCACGAAAGGCACTCTGGAGAAATGTAGCTATATAGGCATGTATGTACATACTATATGTATAATATGGTGCTCCAAAAAAAAAGTAAAGCCCAAAGTAAAGTTTTTGAATATTTTTTAATATTAACTAACTTTTATAGGTATCCTAAAAATCCCCAAAAAAAAACTCGCTGCTAGTATTAAAAAATGGTAAAATAAACAGCTGGGTTTTATTACTGGAGGTCTGCTGAAGTTTTCGATCGATTTTTTTTTCCATATAAAATACATGGAAAACTTTAAGCGCTTTGAGCGACCTCTAAATATTTTTTGGTTTCGAAATAAAAAAAACAGGAGTATTTTTTTCGATATAGAACAATCCTAGGGGGTGACATTATTAAAATTCCGACTTTACCTTTTCACATGAATTTTTGCACCACCCCATTGTATATACACATGTGCTTATTCTTATATATGCACCTAATTATTTTACATACATATGAAATTATTTTACAGTGATTACTCGCAATTTATTATACCTTGTCTCGTTCATTTTGTGCAATCCGTGCATGGGACCATTTAGATCCCACCAGGTTGAAGATAAGCTTGCATGATGATCAATTTCCTTTTGTACGCTAGCCGTATGTTGTTTTGTTTCCTCTTTTGTGGGGACTGTACTTACATCCGACATATACGTAGAAGTTGTGTTTGTAGAAGTTTGTGTATATCGAACATTTAACGACAAAAACCTAAAAGGGATATTTTAAATGAATTGATTAAGCATCGTTTGACTTGGAAACCTTTGCGCCTGCAGTATCGGTGATATAAATTTGACTGTCTGCAACGACATTTTACTTTTGAATGATCGCAAATATAACTGCATTCGAAATGAAAGCTAACAAATTTTTAAATGAAATATATATGTATATATATGTACTCAATTCTTTACTATAAATAGCTATCAGTCGATATACGAATATGTATGCAACAAAAGCTAGTATTAAGCGTTGCGACACTGTTCGAAGCGGAGACGTTATTTTTTGTCAAGCACAAAACCCGGCGGGAAAAATCCAAATGGAAGGAAACTATTTACAATTAAATTAAAGATAATGGACCGAGCTAAATATCTCTGGATATTTGACAAAACAACTTAAGTCTATCTTTCACGGACAAAGAATAGCTTATGTCGCCGAAGCTCTTTTTACCGTCAAAGCAATCATTTTTATTTAAATGAAAACATGCAGTTCTTGCAAACAGAAACATTTTTAACGGTATTGAATAGCGATAAAATAATTTAACATTTCTTTCGAATTGCAAAATTTTTTCTCTTTGACGGTAAAGTAAGTTTTGTCGACATACGCTATTTTGTATGTCCGTGATATATGTGGCTTTATCGTTTCGATTGTCAAATTATCGTTGCCCTGCTTATGGTTTTTGCCAACATCTTCTCTATTGTCGGAGGTCAATGGGACTAAAATATCTCAAATATCATGAAAGTAAATTTTTTGATTGTTGGGAGGCAAACGGCACTTCAATGCCCTTCGTCGTAATCCAGATCTGGACTTAAAGAGCACCATGGTTTCATATGGTCGCTAGAGACTATGACGCAATAATGTCGTTACGTGCGTGGCGCGTCTAGTGGATCTGCCAAAATATATCGGCCATTATCCAGCTATTTAGTGACGATTTAAGGTCCCCTGAATTTTGGATCAAGCCTGTGTGTGCCTCCCGTTGCGTTGATATGTAATCAGTAACTGCCAGTTGACCTTCGTACTTCCATTTTCCATTTTTGTCTCTCGGTGTCGATATTCTCTATGGCTTTCTGTTGCTTTCCCTGGCAGTCCCTACCTTCAGGCGTTGTACTAATCGACTAATTTACGGTATATTCTGGACTGACAAATAGAGCAGATTGTCGGAGTTGCCGGCGGCGGTGTGTGGGTGCTATTGTGTTTGTTTGTGTGTCTATTGTTGTGTTGTGTTGGGGTGTGGGTGTGTTGATTGTGTGCTGCCCGGGCGGGTGGTGGTTTGCCGTGGAGGCGGTCCGGTTCGCACAGCATGGCGCCACGCACGATGTGGTCCATTGCCGGTGCGTACGTAGGCCCGAGCAGTTACGGAGGTGACTCCACCCGTCACAGGTATTGCACTTCACCAAGGTGGAGTTTGTATGCAGTCGTCTCTGGCATACGCAGCAGGTGTAAATTTCTGGCTCTGGGTTAGACTCTATACCAGCCCTGAGCAGAAGGGTACGGAGCAGATGTAGCCCTAGAATCGAGTAACGTTTGATGGATTTCGCCGACCTAAACGGGGTTAGATCGCCGAAACAACAGCCCTTGGTCGGGTAAAACCCGAGTCATTCCGGTACGTAGAACCGGCTGTCGTGGGAATGTACATCGTCATGTCGTTTGGTCTGGTTAATGCACCAATGTATTTCAAGGAAGTGATCACCAAGTTAACATCAAGATTATATCACAGAGGCCAAGTCATCAGTTATGTAGATGAAATGATCGCAGCAACGCCAACTGTGAATAAACGCAAGATTATTTTACAAGAAGCCTTTGAGGCAATTCGACAATGTGGCCTCACGCTTAGATCGTCTAAATGCATTCGTAATTTTCCCAAACCATCGAACGTCACTGACGCAAACAAAAAAGCACCACGGAGATCAGCCCCAACAAACTTTTGTTAAGTTTCGATTTACGATGCGTCAGCGAGAATGCAGCCAGGCACCGTCAAGAGTACGTGACTCTTGCAAAACGGTATCAAAAGTAGTAGACATTTGTAAGAAGGTACTATTTAGTACAACAAGGAGCCAACAACAGATTAACCCTGTGGTGGCTTTCGTGCTATGAGGGCTTCGACGGCAGCGAAAGGGGTAACATTCTAGTGAAATGGTATCTAAATGGATGGGAGGACTTGAAATTTACAACCCAATGGCGAACGACTAAGGGCAATAGGCAGTCCAAAAATGCATCGCTCCCTCTCGTGAAATCTCTGAGCGGCTGCTTAATTTTAGCAGAGAGGGTTTAAGAACTCTCATCGGACACTTGTCAGGAGACTGCAGACTGAGGTACCATCTACGCAAAATGGGACTATCTGAAGAAACGAGCTGCAGGGTTTGTAGGCTAGAGGATGAAACCTCGAACCATATATTATGTGATGGCCCACTTATAACTCGACTTAGACTTTTACACCTTGGAGAGCGACTATGACCTCCATCCAGAATCTTGAATATGACACCTTCCAAAGTGCTTAATTTCATTAACCTAAAGGTACCCACACTCACCGACGTGTACGTATGCCGTGTCTGTTTGACGTAGCAGCATATAAATTTTACTGTTGATAGAGAGAGAGAGAAGCAGAACACGGCCCGCGTAACCGTCGCACGTACACGATGGTGAGCTTTCATTTACATGGCGCTCGCATAAGTTTGATCGTGTCAGCTGACACGTTAACGTACGTCGGTGAGTGTGGGCATTTAGAGGTTATTGCCTAGATAAGGGTTAGTACAATAGATCCAGCTAGGTCGCAGCGCTATATGCCCAATAATAAAAATTCAAGAATAAGATTAAGATTACGGTTAAGATTACGATTAAGATTAAGGTTAAGATTAATATTAAGATTAAGATATAAGATTAAGATTAGGATTAAGTTAAGATTGAGGTTAAGATCAAGATTAAGATTAAGACTAAGATAAAGACTAAAATTAGAATTAAGGTTAATATTAAGTTTAAGATTAAGATTAAGATTAAGGTTAGGATTGGGATTAAGAATAAGATTTGGATTAAGGTTAAGATTAAGATAAGATTAAAATTGCGGTTAACATCAGGATTAAGATTAAGATAAAGATTAAAATTTTGTTTAACATCAAGATCGAGATTAAGTATAAGATAAAGATTAAGATCAAGATCAAGATTAAGATAAAGATTAAATTTAAAATTGAGATCAAGATTAAGATTAAGATTTAAGATTAAGATTAAAATTGCCGTTAACATTAGGATTAAAATTAAGATAAACATTCAAATTGTGATTAAGATTAAGACTAAGATTAAGAGTGAGATTAAGATTAAGATTAAAATTGAGATTGAGATTACGATTGAGATTAAGCTTAAAATTAAGATTAAGGTTAAGATTGAAAATGAGTTTAAAATTGAGATTAAGATTAAGATGATGTTTATTACTATGCATAAAATTACTTATACAGGCAATAGCAACAATACGTTTCATTAGAATTATGCGTGGATTCTAACTTACCTGATCAATATTGAATCAAGAATGATTTAAACACCGTGAATTATTTTAATTTAATTTTTATTTATTTACGTAGTAGTTCAGTGGAAAATAAAAGTAAAATTACATACATACTTAACAATATCACCGATTTTTGAGGACCTAATTGCATAATTTACGGTTTGAGAAAAATATATGATACATACATATGTACGTATATTCTAAAGCTAATCAATACACTAACGAGTATGAAAATGAACATGTACTAAGTATTATTTTAATTATATGCTCATTGTATGTATGCATATGTACTATATGTATATAACAATACACATTTTCGCACACAAGTATTGAAAATGAAACCGAAGCAAATTAAACGATTTTATATTTCAAAAATATCCTATTTTAAAGTAATTACAAATAAACTTTAACCAAAAGTTGTGGTATATATTCAAAACAGGCGCTTTATTGTCGTAATACATTATACGATATATTTTACATACATACATATATTATGCTAAACTACGACAATAATGCACTCGGCCTGAAATACCCTTACAATTTCGTTACATATCGCTACCTAAAGGTGAAAAGGTGCCAAGTCTATTTTTTTTTTCAAAATTTAGTTTTTGAAGCAGAACGGCAGGTAGTGCGAAACTACATTAATTTTTCGTCTCTCCTGAACAATTAAAAAAAAAATGGACTTGGCACCTTTTCACACTTAGGTTACGATATGTAACTTTACTTCTTTTATTTAAACTTCATGAGGTGCATTCCAAGTACATTTGGACTGGATATTTTGTTTCTTTCTACATAATTATTGTAAGTATGTATATATGTACCTTTATATTATGAAACGTCGCATGCAGGGTTTTAGTTACTTTGAATATTACAATTAATTTTAATTTCATGATATCGGTTATGTTGCTGCTTGATTGCTTTATATGGTTTTTATGTACATAAGTAACTGGTTCATAATAATTTAGTTGAAGTTTCAACAGGACTTTTCATAAAATCTTTGAATTTCGTTTTGTTGCTATCTGGAATGTGCGATTTTTATATGTTTGTTAGTATGTGTGTGAGTTTTTTCTATTTAAACTTTTTTTGCTGAGGTTTCGGTATGTTTTAACATTTTATTATTTATTTATTTATTTTTTAACTATTAAATCTTTTTGACGTATAGTACTACATTTATTTATTCAATGAAAACAACCTATAATTTAAGAACAAAAATGTAATAAACAAAGTTCCTAAAAGCTTACTGAAAGTAATTAAAGTTACGTGGACTCCTTTTTGGAACTTTTCAAGCTTTCTATAAATTTTATATGAACGGACACTGGGACAAGCACTTTTATGCCAACACTGCTTTATACCACAGTTGGCCACTGTATTGGCATTTTAAAAGCTCGCTCTATGCAATGTTAAAAGCTTTCGATGGCCAACACTGCTTTGAGCCAACCATTTGCGTGGTTGTTACATTGACACTTTCAACTGCGACTTAAAAGCTCTCTCTGCATAATGGTAAAAACTTTCGCTGGACAAAATTGTTTTATGCTGCCAACCATTTGGCATGGTTGTTCCATACTTTCAGCTTCCATTTCCGTTTTCCTAACGTAGCTTTGTTGAGATTCCAATGGGGTTTTGTTGCCTAACGTTTGTTTTCAAACACTCGCCCTAAGCTAATTATATTCGAAATGGAATCGAATCGTTTTCTATATTTTTATTTTAAATTAAATGTGCTGAGAGCATTTATGTTTCTTTTTGGTTTTGTATTTTAAAGCTAATTTACTACCAAAGATTTGGGCATTCGCGATGTTATTAGTTTCCTAATTCGTTCGCCTAAAATTATATTATATTTCTAATACCTTAAACGTATATGAATGACAGTCCTATTCCCATGTCAATGACAAAATTAAACGCATGACTATTCTCTTAACTATTGCATCTATAGCTTTGACGCAAAATATATGCATTGTTCGTCATTATCTCGCACTCATGTGGTCATAACAACAATAACGACAGTTGTCATAATTGGAAGATGTAAAATCAGGCATAGTTTGCGGAATAGTCTTAGGCGCAGTGGTTAAGACAACAGTCATGTGATGGACTTTGTCATTGGCGTGGGAATGCGCTGTTTATGCACTTAAAAAGAATTCCGGGGGAAACAATTTACAATACATTTTTATTTTTATTTAATTTCATTGATCTTTCGAAAGCTCGATGCCATTCTTGTATACTACATACTCGCATAATATTCAATTTCAATATTTTTCACTAACTTCAACACTAGTACAACAATATGTACATAAATTTTATTCTGTAGTTTTGAAAGTTTCTACTAAGTACATATGTATTTTATTTGTTTGTTTTCATTTTATTCAGTAGCGTCAAAATGACACAAAAAAGTTTGCTGCAAATGCATTATTTATTTATTTATTTTTTATTATTTATGTTAAAAGTTCGAATTGTCGAATATACATAGGTGTGTATATATTTTTTTCTATAAATTAAGAAGTTATGTTTTCTGTTTTGTTGTTGTTTGAAATTTTCAAGCAAATAACGTATTCCCTAAACATTACGTCATATTGTATATTAGGTTTTCTTTCTATTTTCTAAGAGTTCTTGTAATAATTTTTTGGTTTTTTATACGACTCTTTATTTAGTTTTAAAATTGTTTAACACTTTGGTTGAAGATTTAAAGAAATAACTATTCTTCAAAACATAATTCACTTAAATGTATTTTTTAAATATGTATATCTGCTTTTTTAATACTTAAATACTTAAAATTATCATAAGGATGGTAGTTGCTGTAGTAATGATGTGATAAGTAGTTTAATGATTTTTTCGATATACTATATTTTCTTAAGTACATAGATTCCTTTGCTTATTTAAAATTTGTAATTTTCGTTTTAATATTTTTTATTTGTTGCTTTTTTTTCTTGTTGTAGCTTCAAATGGACAATTTGTGAATTCTCAAATATGTATATAAATAGACGCAACATCCACTCCAACTAGTGTTTAGAATTCGACCATATGTTCAAGACGTTATATTAGTGGTTATAGTTTTTGAACAAAAGTTAGACGGATCACGCGTGAGAAGCTTTTTACAGATTTTATATAGCGGCGCCGGAAATAAAATCTCTACGATCGTTACTTTCATACATACATACCTATTTATATGCATAAGTCACGATCAAAACCTATTCAGAGGAAGGACAGGGCAATCCTGGCAACCGTCTTCAAAATGCTTAACTGTCTTTCGAAAGACGAATTGAAAGATTTGCTAACGAGGAGGTTATGCCTTTTAGCAATAAGTATTTTTTACCAAATAAATTACATTAAAAACATATACATATATAAAGCAATAAAAAGTAATAAATAAGAATTAAAAAATAAAATAAAATGAAAAAAAAACAAAAAAAGAATTAAAATATTTTCAAAAATTAAATGATATTAAAAAAATTTTTTTTTCTTAAAACAACAAAATCTAAAATTTAAGTTAGAAAAAGAAAAAACTTAAAATAAAAAAAAAAAATAAAACATAAAAATTAAATTACCAAAATAAATGTTCTTAATTTAAAACAAAATTTAATCATTAAAAGAAAATTAAATTAAAAAGAACAAAAATATAAAATTAGACCCTAAAAATTTAATGAAATAAAAAAATATATTTTTCTTTTTAAAACAATAAAATCTAACAAGTAAATTTAAAGCAAAAAGCACAACCGACTTCAATGCTCTTATAAAAATTAAAGTACCGTTAATTGCTTCATGATCCAATAATCGGATTTAAACCAAATTAGTATGGGACCACCTCTAAAACACTACCTTTCCGATAGAAAGTTATGCGGTAACATACATAAAAAAATATTCCGACGAATTGATAACCTTCTCCTTTTTTGGAAGTCGTCTAAAAAGTAAAAATTAAATGATATTAAAAAAATATTCTTCTTTTTAAAACAATGAAATATAAAAATTAAAAGAAAATTAAATTAAAAAAAGGAAAAATGTACATTAACAAAAAAGAAAACCCAAAGACTCGTTGTTGTAATAGAAAATGTAGTCAATAAAGCTGGTCGGCTCGGTTTAAATCAATCGAAGGATCTGCTCACGATAGGACGTTCCAGCCGAAATGTCGTAGAAATCTGCCGCGTGAAATCCGTATATTCAAATGCTTATTTTTATCTAAATAGTTCGCGATTTTGTGCAGCTCGATCTCGATCGACAGACAAATCCTTACTGCAAGAATGTCGAAGAAATTAGATTTTGACGGGCAGTTAAATAAAGCTAATCTGTAATACTGATTGCCTTGATGTCCTTGAATGAGATAAAACACATATTTTTCGTTTGTAAAACAATAAAAACGAAAAGCTAAACAAAAATTAAATAAAGAAGAAAAAGATTATATTGAAAAAAAAAGTTTCTAAAAATTAAATGAAATAAAATTTTTTTTTTTTGAAATCTAAACAGCAAAAGAATATTAAATTAAAAAAAATAGATTTAAAGAATAAATAAAAAAAAAAAGAATGAGGCAATAAAAACTAGAACTTAGAAGAAAAAAAACGAAAATAAATAATTAAAAACTGAAGAAAATATATAGAATGAGTTTATAAAAATAAAATGAAGTTAAAAATAAATATTTTTCTTTTTATAACAATGAAATCCAAAAACAAATCAAAAAAATATAAAAGAATTTAAGAAGAATTATACTAAAAAAGAAAAAAAATACATTAACCATGTTTCTAAAAACTAAAGTGAATTAAAAACTAACTTTTTCTTAAAAAAAAACTAAAAATAAAAAAAAATAATAATTCCACTGCCCAAAGACTCAAACCTCGGATCTCTCGAATGACACGCCTGTGCTTTGCTCAATTGGCCATTGCGACTGTTGGAGTAGCGCTAGCAAAATTTATATATGTATCTCCATTTGGAACAGTGATGCTCAAAACAGTGCCCGCGGGCGGAACTCTTCAAAGCGCTCTGTAGATTTTTTATAGACGCGAACAGAGTGAAAGCTCTCTTTGAGCATCACTCTGGAACATGCTCATGTGCTTTTCACCAAAACAGCGTTTCACCATGGAAGTTGGCAAGGAAACTTTTTTTTGCAAGAATTGTATGCTAGAATAAACAAGATCGTTTAAACTTTAAAGCAGCGGTAGGTAGAGAGAGCTTTTACTCTACACGCGCCTACATAAAATGCATAGAAAAATTAAAAAGAGCTTTGCCCGCGGGAAAGATGGTGCTCACCACCGCTTTAAAGCACTGATGGGACTGTCTTGCCCGCGGGCAAAACTCTTTTAAGCTTCCTTTACCTTTTGTATAGGAGCGTGCAGAGTAAAAGCTCTTTCTGCTCATCGCTGCAACTTGTCTACTCTCTTTCAATTGTCTTACAAAAGAAATGGAACTGTCTTACCCAGAACTGCTCTGTAGTGTGTCACTTTCCAATGCCACATGAGAGCAGGTACGATAATCTAACCTATTCTCATAGTGGTACCCCATCGGACAGAGTAAATAAAAATACTGCAAAAACCGAGGTACACATGCACCTACGCGGATCTGAGTAAAGTACGCACTTTCACCTGACTGGCTTCAACTTATTAGCCTTGTGTGGTAACTCGCGATCAGGTGTTTGGGGATCAGCAACACAGATCAGTACATACGGATAAAGCTCACGTCCTTCCACCCGATCAATACTATTCAAAGCCGGCGACGATAGTTTTGAAATTAAAGAAATATTTTGTAACTAACTTCATAAATCTAGTGAAGCAATCTAAAAACTGTATTTTTTCAACCCTCTTATCGCTTTTATATCTTCTTGAACAGCTGGTGAATTCTGCACACATTTCATCGGTCCGTCCAACATTTCAACTCCGTTTTAATGCGATTTACGCTAGACTAAATATCTTTCTGTTTTCTTTTCGAACATTCATTTTCTTTTAAGTTTTTGTTTTTGAATGCATTTACTGAAATTTAGTATATCACATTTTTTCTTCGCTGGCCAATTCCTCCGGCTCGGTCGGACTGATTGGCGACATTTCAACGCTGTCCAGCAGCGGTGTCTTCTCTTCACTACACTGGCTGCTTTGGGCGTCGTGCATGGCAAAAATCTTCGAGAGTTCAGCGCCACTCAGTGTCTGATGTGTTGGCGAATCGTCGGGGGAGCTGTTGTCATCGGTGGCAGTGCAAGTGCCGCTGCCTCCACTGCCAGCACCACTACTACCGTCACCAGCGTGCTTATCAGTCAAGTTGACAAAATGATCTACCGACTTGAAAATAGCGCTACGTGAGACATGTGGTAGCGCCACTATAGTACCGGCAGCTGTAGTGCTGGCAGCATTGGGGGAGTGTGCTGAAGCGGAGTAAGCTAGATTTTGATGGCAGGATAAGGTAGCCAAAGAGGTGGTCTTTATATTGGACGTCCTTAGGCGATTTATGGAACAACTACTCCAGCTCAATTGATTCGGGTGGGGACGTTTGGAATGTTGCTGTTGCTGGTGATGGTGTTGATGAGTAGATAGTTGTTGGTGTTGTTGTTGAAGTTGTTGCTTTGCTGACTTGGCTACGGGTTGCTGATTATAGTGACTACGCCGATGTTGCGGCTGCTGTTGCTGCTGCTGCCGAAAATGCTGTTTTGCATGGTGTTGATGTTGATGATGTTGCTGTTGTTGTTGTTGTTGTTGTGGTTGTGGTTGCTGTTGCTGCTGCTCAGCATAATACATGTAACTGTAAACATTATTGTCATCATAGAAGCTCATTTCGTCCTCGGATTGGCAGCATTGATCACTTCCGCTTGTCGTATTGTTTATAGCCGTTTGCTTTAGTTTGGTCAAGGTGACCAGATGTCGTTCCGAATACGATTTACGTGCATCCATAACACGCAAATAGTCATTCGAATCACCGAGATCCTCGCTTTTTGAACTGCAGTAACGTCGACCAGCACCCGCTGTGCCGACATTGCCGCAAAAGCTTGTGGTCACCGCCAAACCGTGGCCACCGCTACCACCAAATGCCTGATTCAGACCGGATATCTCATTGATTGAACCACCTCGATTTAACGATTGTCGACTGTGGCTGCGACTGCCGCCGTAAGAGGAACTGCTGTCGTAGTGATTGTCACGCAATGAAGATGGCGACAAACGCGCCGAATGATTGGGCGATGTTTCTAGCAGCGAGTCATTTGACTTGGCAATGCGATTCTTTCGATAGAATTTGCTATCGCGCCACATTGTTTGACGACTACTCACCGAACCCGCTGCTGTGGCTGGACGCTGCAGCTCGCCATTAGTTATGACTTTTGTGGCGCCAACGGGTGAAGTGCTGATAAGCTGATTCGGTGAGTTGTCATAGACGATCACTTGACTCGAGGTCTTACTGATGCGGAAGGAGGCATGTGTGAGTTTTTTGTATTTTTCATCTCTCTGCATGTTCACGCGATTTTCCGAGTTTGTGCGATCAACTATGGGCATAAAAGCGCTATCGATGCGTCGTTCCTCTTCGAGCGAACGAAAAGCCATACGATTGACATTCTTCAAAAGTTTGTCGGAAGAGGAACGCTTATTCGGTGACATATCTTCGAATGAACATACGCGATATTTTTGTGAAAAGACCTCAATGGTGCCGGTACGTTTCGAGGGTGAAGTTGTATAGATAGAGTTTTGATCATTAACCAGTATCTTGGGTGGATCGAATTGTTGTCCTTGGGGTAGTGCGGCGCTAGACGACGATAGGGACGAATTGCTAGAGTTAGTGGTGGCAGTGACGAGTATTTTAGGCGAAAGCGAGACGGGAAATTGTTGTGGACGTATATTGCCTGTCGAGCCGCCGGACGAAGTGGATGCGCCCGAACAAGAGCCAGCAGACATGGCGTCATCAATGTTCAAAAAGTTGCTAGGCGATGTTTCACGACACGGCGATGATATAGCTGAATCTTGTGACACCATGCTTCTTGGTATGGTAGCCAATTCTAGGCAAGTTTCTTTGCCACCTGTTGTAGTGGCTATTATCACATCTTCTACACCCTCATCAATCGGTGAAGAAATCGATTGAAAACTACTTATGCGAAAGCTGGATGACCCAACTGAGAGATCATTGTCTGTCAACGAGCCAAAAGCCGAATCCTGCGACGGGTTACTGCGCCCATATTTCAAGCACTTGAGCGAATACTCGAGTCGACGACTCTTTGAGTTCTTATAGTTGCATATGTCGGCGGTCAATTGATGATTGAATGAAGCAGCAGCAGCAGCACCAGCGCCTGCCGTTGCGACACTTGCTGCTGCGGCAGCCGCAGCTGATGTGGATGCCTTTGCGCTATCAGTCATTAGACTTGGACTAGTCGAGTCCGCTTGCTGCACCGATGATTCATTACTCGCCGTGCTGTCATTGTTTGATGTGCTATCATCACCCTCAAGCTCCAATTGACCCGAGTGTATTGTATTTTCGCCAGTGTCGATATTTTCCTCAACAATGAAGGTAGCTGGTGCAGAAGTGGAAGCAGCACCGGCAGCAGCAGCGCCGCCTATTGAAGCAATACTTGTACTACTTCCCGATGAGCGGCCAACATTTGAACCCAATGGTGCATTCAAATTATTGCTGGAGCTACAACGTATTGTTGGTAGGGAAGGTGGTGGCGGTGGTGGTAGCGGTGGCAGAGGTGACAGAGGCGGTGGTGATGGTGTTGGCGACTCTCTTAGTTGTAGTTGTTGTGTTTGTAATTGTTGTGTTGTCGAAAGTTGATTTTCTTGAGTGCTATAGATATTGTCGTCCGACTGGGTGGTGGTATTTTCACAATAATGTAGGGGTGATGACTCTATGGCATCATATTCTAGCTGTTTGTGTTCATTGAAGTGTTGACGTTGGCCGACACGTTGATGCTGTGAGAAGGCTGTAAACTGACTGTAGTAGTGCTGTGGGTAGGAGTGATGCTGACGCTGGTGGTAGTTTTGCATGCGCTGTAGCTGTTGCAGGCGTTGCTGGTGATATTTGCCATCGACAAGGATTTCATCAAGCAGCCCTTCCTCGGAATCGCTTGATATGTCGAAAGAGTCCATTGTTCGACTAAAGCTGTTGTCGGTGTGGGTTACATTTAACGACCAGAAGGCATGTGATGTAGTAAGCGTGTCAATAAGTGCGAAGTAGTAAGTGAGCGAATGTAAAATAGACAGGAAATTGATTATAAGTGATAGGCAAAATACAGTTAAATAAGTGCTCATAATTCTTATAAATAGTACAGATTTCATATGTACATAAGTATGTATGTATGTACTATATATTCACTCGCACAAAATTGGATGAGTTGTAGATGGTGTATGGTGGAAGTGAGTTAGTGAGTGGGTGAAAGCATTGATACTCGTAAAATAAAATGGCAAATGTGATAAGCCAAAACAGCTAAAGTAGTCAATAAATATGATACACTAGGAAACACGCTAAGCTAATGTTATTTAGTAGAAGATAGTACAAATACAAAGTGTAATTGCGAGAGAAGTATTTAAAGTACAGGCAAATATTTAAAGCTTGAATTCACTAAAATACTTCAACGCTTACAAACGTGATAAAAACTATAGAAAATTTACATACCTACATATCTACATAACTACTAACATACTTCATTATCTACACTACATCGCCATGAACTAAACATATAAGGCAAAATAGTAGGCTAAAAAGCTAAGGGTAAAAATCTACAAGCTTTGGGCGAACTGCAACAAAACGTTCTTTCTTTGGTTAAAAAAGTGAAAAAGATAACTACGAATAAATACTAATACATAGTCCGAAATAAATATGTATGTCCAAGAAAATACTCGAAAATCAAAATGTCTACCAAAATATATTAATAACCGGGCAATTCTGGCTAAAATAGTTGCAAGTCTTTGGTAAGACAATTGAAAGACAGTAGTTTTAAAGACTTGGTTTATTCTGGTACGAAAGTCAGTCAAAAAAAGCTCCCTTGCCAGCTTTCATAGTGAAAAGCTCTTTCGACAGAAAGCGCTGCTCCAACAGTCTCAATGGCCGCGTGAGCAAAGCACTGGCGTGCCATTCTGGATGTTCGAGTTCGAGTCCTAGGTCAGCGGTATTTTTCCTCTTTTTTGTTAATTTAATTTATTTTTCCGAAATTAATTTTTTAAATTCTTAGAAGCTTATTTTTATTATTTTTTTTTTTACTTTAATTTTTAGATGTTATTGTTTCAAAAAGAAAAACATTTTTTAAATTTCATTTAATTTTTACCACTTTTTTCTTTTCTTGATTAAATTTTCATTTAATTTTTAAATCTTTTTTTTTTAATGATTTTTTTTTAATTTTTGGTTTTTATTGTTTTTAAAAGATGTTTTTTTTCATTCAATTTTTAGAAACATTTTATTAAATTTTCTTTTCATCTTAAGACTAAGTTGTTAAAAAAATATATTGTTTTTTAATTTCATCTAATTTTTTGAAGCTAATTTTACTTTTTTATCTGTTTTAATTTAGTTTTTATTTTTTTAACTTTAGTTTTTATTTTTTAACTTATTTTGTCTTTTCTTAATTTAAAAGATCTTTCAATTAGCACTTCGAAAGACAGAAAAGTGCCTTCAAGATAGTTGGTAGAATTGACAATTTTCCTACGAAAGACTGTGGTGAGTTGAAGGACAGTTGCCAGAATCGCCCTATTAATTTAATTTTTAGATTTTATTGTTTTAAAAACAAAAAAAATATTTTTTAAATTAGAAACATATTTTGTTCTTCTATTTTTTGTAACATATTTTCTTCTGCTATTTTTTGATTTTTAGATTTTATTGTTTTAAAAAGAATTTTTTTCATTTAATTTGTAAAAACGTATTTTTTCGTTTTTCTCATTTGTTTTGTTGGTCTATTTCATTTTAATCTTCTTTTAGGTTTTAGGATTATCTTATTCTAAAATGAAAAATATGTTTTAATTTTATAAAATTTTTTGGAAAATTTTTTGGAAAATTTTTTATTTAATTTTTGAATATATTTTTTTATCTCTTTAATTGAGCTTTCTTTTAATTTTTAGAGAAAAATTTTTTAAAAGAAAAATTTTTTCATAATAATTTAATTGTTAGAAACTGATTTTACAAATTTATTTTTTTTCTTTTGTTAATTAATTTTTTTGTGATTTTTAGATTTTATTCTTTTAAAAGAAAACTATATTTTTTTCTTTATTTCAGTTTAGAAAAACGTTAAGACCTCCTTGTTAGCAGATCGTTCTATTAGTCTTTCGAAAGACAGAAAAGAGTTTTCAAGATAGTTGCCAGCATTTCCCTGTAAATATGATTAAATTTCATAAGAAGCAGAACCTATTTCTTGATCAAATTTTCGATAACCTTTACGATTTAAGATTCTCCCGTTGGTAACTTGCCCTTGTCTGGTGGAACACGCTAGAAAATGCTGCACTTGATAAGCGCTACATCGGATTGCCCTAGTCGACATTGGTGGGGGCTACGCTGGCGTTTAAAATTATGTTGAATAATACGACTGTAGATATTTCGAACAGGATTGTTGCAGCCCGAACCGCATTTAGGGTCCGAGTGGCTTGATTTCGGATTTACTGAAGGAAGGACGCAGTGAACTTCTTCACAGACGGATCAAAACTAGAAGGCAAGGTTGGTGGAGGTGTATTTTGCTGGGAGCGGTCCATCAAGACTATGTTTAGGAATCCGGACTTCTGGAGTGGATAACGACTCTTAATTGGTCCCTTTTGTATCGGCTGTCAAGAGGATGATGAGGAGCGAGGCTACTGAAATTAGCCGCATTGGAAATTTCGTAATCGGCACGCTGCGTTTCGCCGACTAAACTAATGGCCACCGTTCAGCATTGGTGGTATCACAAAGGACAACCATTTAACCTAACGTAACCTCTCAAACTAGGAGACATTATCCCATACACCCGGCCAACGATCGTTAATCAATACGTTGAATGCCCCGTATATGTAGAAATATATGTACATAGTTCGAAAAAGTTACGCACATATATTATGTCTAGTTTACTGCCTTACCATCTAAAAAGCAGGATCAAGTATAGGATAGAAAGGAAGGTTATTAAAACAAACATCAAATAACTATGAACAACAATACAAATATATACTAAGCACAAAAATCAAAGTTAGCTTAATCAATAATTATTGAAAAATCAGCAACATCCAAAAAAAGTATAAACTAAGGTTTGTACTGTACTACTTTTTTAAACATTGACAACACATAAAATATATGTACATGCGTGTAAAATTTTGACTCAGCTTGGCTTTGGTGTAGCGATAAACTGGTAGTTAATTGGTTTGTAATTTTTAGTGTGTGTGTGTGTGTGTATTTTTTTTACAAAAAATAGCTTGAATATATAAAATAAATCACACTTACCACTTTGACTAACATTTGCACATAAAATTTATATGTAGTAGTAGTAGAAGAATTAATTAGTAGTAGGTAGGTGGAGGTACATAGGCTGTTGGGTTGTTTTGTCAGTTGTTGTGAAGGTACGAGTAGGTACTGTATCCAGTTTGTTTTTTTTTTTTTTTGATTGTGATAAACAAAACCGCAAAATAGGCAATTT